ATACCCAAGTGTAAACCCCACGAACGTGGGGGTTTCGGGGAGGGGTACGTACGTAGGCAGACCGTTACCCCCTACTTCGTGAAGGTAGAGAGGTTGTTCCAATAGACCCTTGGCTCAAGGAAAGCATAATCACAGCAGTTACGAAACGTAACTGAGCACAAGACTATAACTAGACATAAACATTAATCCTGCCAAATTTTGAGGATTTGCAGTCCTGAATAAAGTATAAAGTCTATCACAGAACCAGCTCTTTCACATTCCAGTATATGCTTCAACAGAAGTGCGTGTACATGTAATGTGCAAAAGCTGTGAGCAAAGAATTCTAAGTACATCATCACGACAGTAAATAAAATGAGAAGATTCTTATTATCTCACGTCAAAGGGAAAGAAAATGAGCAAACAGTCCATAAAAGTAAGTCCACTATCTCTCATCCATGGAGTAAATTCTTTGAAGGAAGATGCGGTATTCATTTTCCATAATCTGAACAAAGCATCAAGATTATATAAAGCATTTATGTCAACATGCACGTGCAGAGACAACTTTGCAAATGAAATCTCTGTACTTTAACTAATATTGATTAGCATGTTGAACTAACAGAAGTTGTGGAAGTTCCCCTTTAACTCTCTTGTCACTGCTTAGATGGAAATAATAATACGGGTCTCGTTTTGGGTGATTCTTTGATTCTTCGACTTAAATTTATTGTAGGGGTTGATCAAATTAGAATCAGTCAACCAAGGAAACTAAGGTTTTAGTTTTTTATTTTGTACATATGTACATATACACATCTTTCTTCGAGTCAGACCTTTTACAGATTTCCCCATAGTTCAGAGTTCAGATTTCTCCAAAGTTGAAAAAAAAGATCAGGAAGGAAATTCCCCAAAAAAATATCGAGAGTACCCTTCTTATGTGATATATAACTATATTGTCAATCTCTTTCCCGCTATACCCAGCAAATTCTCAAGGACAAAAGGTAGTTTTTTAAAGTGAAATTCTGCTATTCTTATAGACTCAAGGGGGGCGTGAATTTCTCAGGAGAAGTTTTTCCATCCGGAGAGTGCATCAACTCTTGCACCAAATGAAACTTTCACTTGGTCCAGTCATCTAGCATCTCCAACTTAGACAAGCATCAAACTATTATGAATCCTTCATATAATCACTTTACACTGACACACAATGTCAAAACAAAACTTAAACGTGCTTAGGCCATAGTATCTGCAGTCAATGATGTCTAGCTCCATTTTTACCTGAAGGACTTCTTACCTCAAACTTCAAGGCACCGAGTAAATCATTCCGAATATCTTGCCAAAAATATTTTAAACACCAAATAAACCACTAATTTCATATCTTGTCTATATTATGTTCCTTTTCTTATCCGGAAAGTCTGTATCTTACTTCTTGCAGCAACAGGATGTTGCCTTTAAGGGTCATAGTTGGTGATATTCAGTGGCCACACAAATTAATGGACAATGTATCTTACATAGATAATACTTAAAAGATGTAGAGACTTGTCAAGAATTAAAATCTTAGTAGTAGAAAAACATTAAACTAATTAAGATGATTGGTTACTTATATGGATAAGATGTAAAGATGGCATTCAGTTTACTGTTATAGTTTCTTTCTAGACGTGCAAAAACAGACTGCAACACCGATAAGTACAACCACATGAATTACCTCCTTTTCCTTTAATTTGTAATCCAGTTCTGCAAAATCATCCTCAGAATTGTACTGACCCGAATGGTAAAAGCATCTTTCCAGAAAGTGGTCCATTTTAGCCTCGCAATTCTCTCTGCAAACCCTCAATGACATGGATTCCATCAGCTCCAAAACCATAAACACCACAAATATTCGCATGTTAAAGTGACTTGACATAATGACATACCTCTGATCAATTCTACAAGTTAAGGTCTTACTGATCATGTTTCTCAGCTCTTCATCACTCATTTTTGTTCGTGAATAACCAAAAACCATAAAATTCTGAAACATACAAGCAAAGACACATCATGAGCTACTTATGATGGCTCTACAAATTAATCTAAGCTCCATTTTATTTTTGTGTGTGATTAGTAGATAACAATATATAGTTGGAGATACGAAATTTAACCTCAGGCAAACAATCTTCATAGAAAAGAGCAAATAAAGCTGGAAAAATCTTCTTCTTGGCTAGGTCACCTGAAGCTCCAATAACAGTTATGCTGACCGTGGTCGCTGCATTTTCTAACTCTGTCAAAGCCACTTGTTCTGGCATAGATTTTGAAGCCGAACCTATATGCATACATGTCAGAGATTTAGTATTTAAATTAACTAACGGAAATACAAGCAGAAAATGATTATGCAAAGAACAAACCGCAGTTCATGGATGAAGGTGAGCTATCATCAAGAACTAGAATTTCAAGATCATCCATTTTATTCTACAATCGAAAAGCAAAAAAAGAAAGCCTACAAGAGGTTTTGTAAACCTTAAATAAGATGTTTTAATTTAACTACAATTCCATCTATGGTTTGTCAATGCAAAGAGCAGAAACTACTAAGTGAAAAGAAAGGAAATTTTCTAAAGTTCTACAACACCATATATCTAATAGGTTAAATGGTTGTTTCTTTTTCTTTTTTTTTTCTCTCTTTAGTCCAACTCAATTATTGAGGAAGTTAAGCTTTTGGGATACTTTAGTACAGTACATAAATTGGTTTTAACACCCACTAATTTTGTATTAAACTGGAACTGTCTTCTATTCCAACACAAGCTGCACTTTTAAACTTAAAGAGTTAAGCAAACATAAACAAAATCCTTTACCAGAATATCAAGAAAAGAATTTCAGATATGGGTACAGAGCAAGGTAAGTACTAAAAGTAAGTAAAACTACAAAGTCAGAGTTAACCAAATTACACAACTAAATATATGATAAGCAATACATCAAACACTTGGAAGAAGATAAATTGAGCTATAAAATAAAATAGTAAAAGTTAAAGACTGCATTTTTAAATGAAGATCAAACTCACCATCCAGGAAAGACACAGCATTCAGATGAAACCCATTTGATGACATGATCTCAAAATGTTTTCTTGGTTGGATTCTTGAGTAAATTCCATTTTGAAAAGTACTAGCAACTGAAGATTCAAGGGAATGGGCTTTAAATGGTAAAATATTAAACTTTCTGCAAAAATTATGTGCCCCATTATGGAAAGTACTAGCAACTGAAGATGAAGAACAAGGATTCAATTGCAACTGCCCACCCATGCAGTTTTTTGTGTAAAGACTCGCTGGAGAAAGTCACAGATTTATTAGCTTATTTAATGTGAAATAATAAAAAGAAAATAAGTTTATCCAATTGCAAAGTAGTTATTGGATACTGACAGATTCTTTGTTAATTGAAATATTTGATGAATTTAGCAGGAAATATCTGAATATTGGCCCTTAAGTTCGGTGAAAGGCATTAGTAAAGTGAAGTCCACACCTTTCAAATGCTCATCCTTTATATGAGGTCCATATTTTTTCTCCACAAAGTTTATTATTTTTTTCTTTAAAATATACCAGTCTTAATATGTTCTTAAAAATATACATTTAAATAAATTAGTCTTTATTTCACGTGCCACGCATATGTATCCCCAACTACTATTGTTAATTTTATATGTAAAGATAATAAATTTTTAATACAATATATAATTTAAACTATAAATATTTCATGTGGTGTAAACATTCATGAATAAAACTTTTGCCTTTACAACATCAATTTTTTTACCCATTAAAAAAGATTTTATGTTGGATAAAATTATCATTTAATTACTTTTCTAATACTTAGGATTTTGAAATTAAATATAAAATTTTATTAGATTTTTCTTAATTTGAAATATGTAGGAAGTCCTAATATTTAGGACTTTTAAATCAATTAAAAATTTATCTTATATAAACGTTTTCTTGTTTGAACTATATAACATAACTATCTTGATATTAATTTTCCTAATATTTATGACTCTTGAAATCAGTTAAATTTTTGTAAATTTACCTTACAACACAAGCCACATATTACCTTGATGAACTAATATGGAGTGTTGGATTCTTAGTTGAGTAGGACTATTATTCATGATCAAATGTTGAAAGTTAGGAATTTGATTCCCAAAATAATTAGTAGTATACTTTAAATTTAAGATACATATACCAAAATGTGTACCTCTAAACATGAAAATAATCCATTAGCTTAATTAGTTTTGTTCAACTTTGTTTCCTAGGTTTCTTGCCAACTCATTCATGACTCATATTCCTTTCACGATTTACTTTGGAGACCTAATATCTATATCTATATTATATTAAAAGGAGAGTAGTGAAGCATGTGGTTAAGCCAAGTGGCAAGTTAAAATGAAGCCACTTGGCAATTTTAAGACAACATTAAAAATTTGAATTATAAATGGAAATATATTTAATGGAAATGGTTTAATAAATCTAATACATAATCTTAATAGATCTTAGTTTAATAAATTTGATATATATATATATATATATATATATAT